GTGTGTGTGTGTGTGTGTGTGCGTGCGTGCGCGCGCGCGCGCGCGCGCAATCTAAGATCACAAAAATATATACAAAATTTAAAATAAATATTATAAATATTTACAAATATTTTGTAAATATTTTATAAATATTGTGTGCTGTCTGGAAAGCAATTGAATAACATTTTAGTTTTACAAATGTAACTTAAGTTTTATATTTAAGTATTGATTATTAACCAAGTTATTGTACAAAAAATAAATGGAGTCCCTTAATACCACTTTCTTCTCTAAAAAAATTTAAAACATGAAATTGTTAAGTTTTACTTCAAAAATTAATCTACACAAAAATTAATAAAGACTTTAATTTTAGGTTTAACCAAGACTTTAGTTAATATTTGATAACATTATATTATCAATTAAAATGATTTCAAATTTTTTTCAATTTGTAAAATATATTTTGTATATTTTATATAATTTACAATTTTAGAAATGTTTAGTATTTTATATGCAAATTCTGAATATAAGATGAACTTCGAGTCAAAATAATAAAAATTTTGCATGTGCTCAACTATTAAAATCTCTTCTAGCTTTAAAATATTTGACAAAATATTTTATAGAAATTTGTATTCCTTTTTTTATACACGTGCTAAAAAGTTTTTTTATAAACGGAACAAAGTTTTTAATACAAGAATATCTAAAAATATTCTATTTCTACTGCTAAGTACTCTATGTACAAAAATACACTTGCTGTAAGTTCGATTAAGTCAATAGTATTTTATTACATTTCATAAAGAATAAATGACGAGTACTACTTTGAAGTTTGTTGCAATAAATTAAAAGCAGAATAGGAAATCTTTAGAATTTGCGCAAATATAAAAAATAAATTTATAAAATATTTACTTATAAACTTATAAACAAATTACACGTATTATATTTTTGCACATGTATCTTTTATAATACGTTACATATATTATATTTTTATTAAATTCTAATTATTGTACAATATGTGTGCCAATGTAAAAGTGCCAAGTTAATGCGCAGAATCCATAAGAAGAAAGTATTTTTCTTCTCTGGCTCATCATAACGAGCAATAAATTTTTATATTGCTTAGGTGATATTACTGTCAATGGCATAAATAGATGCTTTTATTCTACAAAATATATATCATGATTTGATATAACAAGTATAAGATATTATATACATTAAGCGTGCGGTAAGAGATAAAATTTATTACATCAATACCTTTAAATCGAATTCTTTACCATATTAGCAGTATGTAAATAATACTTGAATACTCATTGATTCTAAGTTATAATATAAAAATTATAAATTCAAGACTAAAAAGTTCTTGCTGCAATAAAAATATTGATCATAGTATTATTTAAACAAATATCAATTTTATTATCTGAATTTTATTAAAATATATTAAATATTGTAACTAACTTTGCAGGGCTAATGTACCTACTGTATACTGGATGCGATGAGCGACGAGCAATATTCAATTAAAGCTCTGCTTTGCACGTTACATGAGAAAAGGTAGAGTTTTTATTGGATATTGCTAGTAGTTTATCGCGTCTGTGTGCGGTAGACATAAGTCATATATCGGTTACATGACAATTTCTATAATAAAAAAGGCGATAATGTTGGTAGCAACGAAAATCCCTGGGCATCACAATTTAATTTTCTTACGGATTAAGATATATTACGATATATCCATACAACTTGTATAGCCGCATAAACGTATGCATAAAAAAAATTATCCAATCACATTTTACATACGTCTTTATAGCAGAAATGTAATTGGATAATTTTTGTTATGCATATGTTTTTTTTATACACGTTTATGCAGTTATATAAGTTATATAAGTTATATAAGTTTGTATGTTCTTAAACTATTGATAATGTTGTTAAATTAATAAAGCCTTTATTAATAAAGCCTTAATTAATAAAGCCCTGTGCAGAAGAATATAAGAAATAAAAAATTAGGAATAAAGAATAAATGATTTTAACTTATCAGAAATCGGATACATTAGAATATATGGTTTCTGATAGGTTGAAATCATTTATTCTTTATTAAGTTTTCCTTAGTTTTCTGAAAAATAGCGCAAATTAACGGAACGCAAATTTACTCCTTATACAATATTATCAACCTATCAGAAATCATGTATTCTGATGTATTCGATTTCTGATAGGTTAAAGTCGTTTATTCTGTAAATAAACAACTAATTTGTTTAAAACACCTAATATAAAAATAGAGATAATAATTAATACTATTACTTACTAATATATAAATATAGAAAGTAGAATAGTAGTATGAATAGTATTTATAAAGTACTATGCAATAATTCTCTGTATTTACAGAGTATGCAATGCCATACTGTTGTGTAATAAAATGTTCCAATTCATGAAAAACAGATAATACAATGCATTATCTTCCCAAAAATTGTGAAGTGATTGGTTCTTTTAGAGAGTCTGACTTCTGATCCAATAAAAAGAGGTCTATGAGATCGCCGGTACTCTGTATTCTAGGGACACTAGTAGCATTTTGCGATTATAGATTTTGGACCGTCATGCCCTCTCTCAGGTTTCTCTCTGGTACTAGACTATAAGATAAAAGCCTACTATACGAGGCAATTCCCATCTGTGATTCCCATCTGGCCGAAATCGTCGCTATTCAACGGCGAGTGCCACACCGAATCAGAAGTATACGCGGCAACGTGTATATTAACGTAGTACAGTAAAACTCTACACGTGTTACGTGTACACAAAATTTTGTACGGTTGTAGAGATGGCAAATTTTGCGAAGCGAGAACTGTTGAAGTACGGTTGGGAGGAAGGTAAGAACTATGAATTTTTTGGTCCGAACAATGTGACGCATTTTCCGCCACATGGCGAAATTGATGAACAAACAATTTACAATACATAATTTTTAAATTACCGATATTCACTGCCAGTACTGAAGATCTATAGTGCATATAATGTATATTTTTAAAATTATAAAAGATAATAAGACTCAATATTAATAAATAAAATCAAAATTTTTGAAGAGTTACGAGCCAAAACAAAGAAAATATATTATAAAATTATAAATATGAAAATATAACAAACGTTTTGACTGATCGGGTCATTCTCAATGTTGACAAAAAATTTTTATAAAAATTTTATGTTAGATTATTACAAACGGAAAAAATATAAATTATCTATCACTTAATACGTGTATAATATAATGTAAATACGTGTTAATTACTAAAATGCTTGCGACGATCTTTTAGTCTTTAATAATCTCGAAACCTATAGTAAGTACTCGAATAATAAGGGCATTTTGCATGTTCTTGTAAAAGTTATTCTGTTTTATAATGTAAAATCCAAAGATCAAATTCTCGTAGTAATCATAAAAACTTTGGAAGCATTCCAGCAATGTAGACGTTAACATAAAAAAGTCTATAAAGAAACCGCAAAAAGTAACCGTAATCCGAGTTCACATAATTATGCAACTATGAAATTAGCAAAATATTATATAAGTATCTTCTTAGTGAAGAGTTTAAATCTCATTAAAAGAAGAAAAAGTAATAGTTGCTTATAGAATCCCATCTTATATTGGAACAATTGCAGTGAGAAAAATCAAAGACTATGTAGCATCTCAACCAAAAACGATGTAACTCAGAAGGTACCGCACACAATAATAAAAGAAGAGTAATAGACAACCGATACTTACTCTTTTTTATTAAACTTTTTAATATATTCGAAATAGTATAAGCTAATTTGCAATTGAACATATTTACAAGCAGTGAAAATTTTTTCGAAATGGAATTGATATATATCTTTTCGGTACTGGCAGTAAATATCGAAATGCAGCCTTCGTCTATTTTGTGGCTCAGTCTCGATTTCATCCCCTCTTTTTTTGTATTTTTTTGGTATTTTTTTATCCTTTATGAAATATAAAGGATAATATTGTCGGATCATATTGCCGTTAACTAAGCAACAATATGAAACAAAGAACGAAATGAAACTAAAAGTTTACCTTTTTTTAATAGGCAAAGGACTTGGTAAAAATGAAAATGGCATAACGGAACCCGTAAAACTTGCGACAAATCAAAATAAGGCAGGTATAGGATATGATGAGAACAAACCTTGGTGGAACAGCTTGTATGATGACACCATTAAAAACATTAAAGTCGAGTCGAATGGTGAAGAGTTTTCTTTGATGACCATCGCTAATGCGGCTACTTCCAAAACTAACCGTCATAATTTCTGGAAAAAATCTGTAACTTTGAGTCCATTCTATTTTGATCATGAGATATTTGAAAATTGTTCAGATTCAGAGAAAACATATGCATATATGATGAATCAGAAGGTTGGATTTTTTAACAAAATTATGCATGAACCAATGGAATACAATTTTACATCAAATGGAAAATTAGAAAGAATTGCACAGCAGGATGCATTATATTTAAATACTAACCCTCTGTTAAGTGATGCTATGATCAATCAAAAGAATGACATAGTCGACAAGAATGCAAAATCAGACATCGAGGAAAATAAGTGTGAAACAATAAACGCAAGCATATTGCAATGTTTTGAAGATACAAAAGATTTTGTTTTATCCAAAACTGCAAAGAAGAAACGTAAAAAAAAATTACATAAATTAATCCAGCAACTAAGCACTTGTAGTTTAGAAGAAAATAATAACCAAAGGCAAAACTATTTGGATATGAAGCTCAAAAAGATAGAAACTCCAAAAATGAAGAAAGATAAACATATGGAGGAAAGAAAGAATTTTAAAAAAATAGTGTCCTTATATAATTCAATAACTTCTGATAATACAACTTCTAGTAATACAAATGAAGTAAAAGTAACAGGAGGCTTGTTCTTTCAACATACAAAGCTGATACAAGACAAATTATTTAGTAAGATTAAAAGAAAATCGATAGATCAGACATCTGATATTTTATCAGATGTGAAATTATTAGGATCAGGAAGATGTGAAAAGGGAAAAGATAGTACTGAGCATAAAGTAGACCAAAGTTTGAAAGTGGAAAACGTGGTAGACAATAAGGCAGACGAATCATTTAAAAAAGATTGGATAATAATTGATGTTGCAACGAAGACAGATAAGGAAAGAGAGAATTTTGATTGCAAGGCAAACTTACTTCCGAAGGCAACAGATAGAATATTTAAGCACGATATCTCAAAAGTAGAAGCTAAAAATAAATATAACAATCCGGTAGAAGAAATAAATCGCGATTTCTACTTCCTAAGTTTAAACAAAATACAAAAAAAGAAAAATCTGCGCCCCCCTTCAAAAGGAATTAAGAAAATTGCCGAAAAATTAAAAGGTGAAGCTTTGGCAAATGAATTAAATTCTGCAATAAAAAATTTAACAATATTTAGTATTACTGACAAATTAAATGCAAATACTGTTAAAAAGAAACTCGTAGTACCCACTCAAACTCATCGTATGCCTGTTTAAAAAAAAAAGAAAAATACAAGATGTAAAATAAGATGTTTGAAAATATGGATGTACTCGAATACTTCAATAATTTTATTACATATTTCTGCTTTTATATTTTCACGATATTTTTATGATATAAATTACAAAAATGATGCATAAATGATGTAATTTTGCTGTGCTAAAAAATTTTTAATAATGGCTTGAAATTATACGTACTGATAGAAAAGTATCTATTATTTAATACTCATTTATTCAATTATTTGCTCATTATTGATTTGATTTAAAAAAAAACTTGATCTTTTTTATAGCATATTTCGTACTTTATTTTTAATCTTCTATTTTATATGATCATATGCTGAATATATACATTTTTTCCAATAGGAATTTATTAAAATGTAATTATTTTCAAAAAGTTCAAATATTTTTAATTGCGTATTTACTTATACAAATTTAATTTATAAATTTTATAATTCCATAAATTTCATAATTTATGGATATGGACAAATTCCATAAATATTAAAATATGCAATTAAAAATAAATATTAATGATTGTGATTATTAGTTATGATTATCTCTTCAATAATGAACAATATTTCATAGATATCATGTATAAGTTACATTATGATTCCACGCGATGTAAAGCTTTATCATTGTTGTAAATATTTGTTAGCGCCGAGATACTGCTGTTTCCAGATAGTGACTATATTCTGTAAATTTATTCATTTCATTCTAATCTCGGAAAAATTAATTGTATTAAAGTTTTTAAACAAAATCAATTATAATAGTTGTAAGTTGAGATAAAAATTAATAAAATAATTCACAATTATTTTTCATATTAAGGTTGCGATCCAAAATTGCCAGTACTCAAAACCTATATAGTGCGTGTAATTTAAATTATAAATTTTCAATCCTGGTAGCAAATTTGGAACACAACCTAAATCGTTATAAACATTTTGCGATAGTATGTATCTAATTACAAATGTCAGTTAATATGCAACTTATTAAATTATATTGTTAAGATCAGTGTCTATAAGGAAAGTTCCTATGTAAGTAAAAGAAATACAATGCCTGTATTATATTTGTTTTATATAAAATTCATTCGATATATGTATTTTTAATAAATAATATTTGCATCAAAAGTTCTTTTGTTTTTTTTTTTTATTCGAAATGTAACATAACAATATTTACATTTACACACAATTCCTGTTGTATGTACATACGTTTAGATGTACAAATCGATGTTCTTTTCTAAAGGCGATTAGAAACGCTTTCGCAGAGATGTAAACATATTATTGCTATAGCATAATATAAAATGACATATAATCTAATTTTTTTCTATATACGATCATCAAAATTTATGAATCTTGAAAGAGAAGAGCTCAGACAACACAAAGTCTAAAATTGTGACACAAGACATTTTTAAATCGTTTTTTAGTCGCAAAAAATGTCTTATAACCCAATTTTAAACATTTTTTATTATCTGGGAGGTGTATCTCATGCAGCTGACTTATATTCCATGTAAAGAATGATAGACGTTCTAAAATAATGGTACATTGTATTATATTCGGTTAATATAGTTTTCGCAAGTATATCAATTTTATTACAGTTCGCCAAAATTCACATTCAGATAGCATCGAGTATTATGATAACTTAGCAGAGACTAGTGATAAAAAATTTAGCATCAAATCTATTCTTATAAAATAAAATTAATTTCTAAGGCCACTAGGGTATTCCGTAGAATTCGTTTTAATTATCTTCACTTTAAGTTACTAACGTTTCATCGTCATGAATTAAAGAATCAATTTTGAAGCATACAACGGTTTTAGTATTCACAACTTTTTTGCTATCTCAGTTTCTTAATCATTCTGATATGTGACATAAAATGATATACATGTGTTTACAAATTTTGAATTATACTTATACTAAATTATAATAAATTCCTATTAAAAAAATTATTATATTCAGAATTATTATATTCGAAGATTCTAACAAGTATTAGGCTATATTATCAAGCTCTTAATATCTATCTTAATGATCTATTTATCTTTTATCAAGTACATAT